TAGTAGAGACGGGGTTTCACCATTTTGACCAGGATGGTCTCGATCTCTTGACCTCGTGATCCACCTGCCTCGGCCTCCCAAAGTGCTGGGATTACAGGCGTGAGCCACCGCGCCCGGCAACAAGTACATTCTTTTACCTTCCTGAATTTGGGAAGGATCACTCTCAAGAAATAGGGGAAGTGACAGAACTTACTGAGGTGCTACACGTCTCCAGTAGCGATCAATTCCATGTTTAAAATACAGTACAGCAAGCCACCTTACATTTATATCCAAAGTATGGTTTGTGAAAATATTCTATAAATAAAAAACATAAAATTAGAATTAGCATGGAATAAGTAAAAAGTGTAATTAATGTACCCACAATAAAGTATAGACACTTTTTTTCTTTTTTGAGACAGAGTTTCGTTCTTGTCTCCGAGGCTGGAGTACAAATGGCACAATCTTGGCTCACTGGAACCTCCGCCTCCCAGGTTCAAGCAATTCTCCAGCCTCAACCCCCCAAATAGCTGCGGTTACAGGTGCCTACCACCACACCCAGCTAATTTTTTTGCATTTCTTTTTGTAGAGATGGGGTTTCACCATGTTAGCCAAGCTGGTCTCAACCTCCTAACCACAGGTGATCCAACCACCTCGGCCTCCCAAAGTGCTGGGATTACAGGTGTGCGCCACCATTCCCTGCCTAGACAAATCTTTTTATTAAATTTGATATATATCATATTGATATTTATGAAGTATATATAGTTCTACAATTCGTATAAGAAAGTATACCTGCTCAGTTGTATGTTAACTGTTTAAGGTGGGTAACAAACACGTAGAGAGTCATTGTACTATTCTGCTTTTAGGTGTGTTTGAAAATTCCCCTAGTAAAAAGATTAAATTCAGAAACAAGCAAACCTAATTATGTTTCAAATGAATACCATAACCCTACACATACCCAATAAAACACATAACTTCCAAATTAGAAAAAGTAGTCCCACCACAGCACAGATTCAAAGGAGTCAAGGCCCCAAGGTTGTTAATACATGATATGAAATAAGCCTATTTCATAGTACCCTCCTTATCGAAACAATCACAAATAAGTTTGATAAGGTGGGACACGGTTGGCTCACGCCTGTAATCCCAGCACTTTGGGAGGCTGAGGTGGTGGATCACCTGAGGTCAGGAGTTCAAGACCAGCCTGGCCAGCATGGAGAAACCACATCTCTACTAAAAATACAAACATTAGCTGGATGTGGTGGCAGGCACCTATAACCCCAGCTACTGGAAGCTGAGGTAAGAGAATCAGTTGAACCCAGGAGGCAGAGGTTGTGGTGAGTTGAGATTGCACCACTGCACTCCAGCCTGGGCAACAAGAGCAAAACTCCGTCTCAAAATAAAAAAAGAGATATAAAGCTAGATGTGATGTGAATAATGCAACTCATAATTAACCATTACTCAAAAGAATGTATTCATTATGTTAATCCAAATAATAATAATAATGACTATAATTACACTTTGTCTGAGACCAAAAACAACTCCAATTCCCAGAGGTGACCTCCTAAACCTTGTGTACAAAAATCCCAAAGCTAAAATGCTGTGGAAGTATGTTCTTTGCTGTAGAAAAATATTTATGGCTGGGCACGGTGGCTCACGCCTGTAATCCCAGCACTTTGGGAGGCCGAGGCGGGCAGATCACCAGGTCAAGAGATTGAGACCATCCTGGCCAACAGGGTGAAACCCCGTGTCCACTAAAAGTACAAAAAATTAGCTGGGCGTGGTGGTGCGTGCCTGTGGTCCCAGCTACTCAGGAGGCTGAGGCAGGAGAATTGCTTGAAATCAGAAAACGGAAGTTGCAGTGAGCCAGGATCGCGCCACTGCACTCCAGCCTGGTGATA